CTGTTAAGACAGCAGGTAAAAGTTGGTCTGTGTTCTGTCGGAGCTGCCTGCGACGCGCTGATGAGATCCAAAAAGATCGAAATCGCGATCCGCGTCAGACCAGACCAAACCACTTCGAATTATTTTAAAAGTCCAAAATATTTCGTTTTTTCGAACATAACATCTATCTGTCTTTTTTTCACATGATGTTTGATGACTGAGTCCAAATAAAAGAACAAAAGATAGCAGCTATTTCTACGATATCATTTGTAACTGAATTAGGATTTGCCTTACATTTGCTGCAACAAAAATGTGTAGATACATTCTATTAGAAAAATACTAACATGTCGAAATTTTCATGGGACAATCGACTACTCGGCAACAGCAGATTGTATTTGATTAGGTAATAAATTTTTTATGTTTGAAGTGCTATTGAAACAATCTAATCGGAAGCCCTCGTTAGTGTTGTTGAAATCGTCTACCGATATTATTGAAGATAAAATGACACCGATGATAAGTCTCATCATGCTATTGTGCCCTGGTATTTTGAAAAATATTCATTATTTCATAATGTTACTAAGTACTTAAACTTAACAGTGCACTTGCTGTAGAACGTAATGATAGTCACAGTTAAGTATCTAATAATAAAACACAATGAATTGTTTCATCATTCAATAGTATCTATACATTCAATGTATATTGAATAACTCGACAGTTATTTCCATTTTACGATTGGACCATCTTCAAAAGGATGTAACTTACACCAGAGATGTAATTTATTTGAAATAGGTGCATTTAAAATGCAAATACAAAATTAAAAATACCTATTTTTATCTTGCTTTTAAATACTTTTTGAGAAAAACATTTTGTACTTTATTTAAAATACTTTTCCAAGCGTATTTTCTATTTGTAAAATGCAAAATACGTTTTTGTCCTTAAAAGTTTTTCTAGTATCACCGATCAAACATTACATAAAATGATGAATGCAAGTTGCTCACATTGGTTATTGATGGTATCAGAAGCTTAAAAAGGAGACAAATATTCATTCCATGAATGAAGAAAGGCCAAAAGATTCTAAACTCCTTGGAGATGGATAAGCTAAAATATTGGATCGATATTGTTTTCCAGGTTCAATATCATGGTCCATGGGATTTTGAAGTTCCAAATTTATATCAGCACCTGCCAAATCACTACTTATCACACCTTTAGCAAGGAACTACGAAATTCTATGAATTACGACAAAACAGACCGTAAAGCAATATCGAATTGATATGCCTACACCAGCTGTGTAAAATTGATAACTGGGAGATANATTTGCATTTTGTATTAAAATACTTTTAAAAAAACATTTTGCACATCTCTGAATTCAAGGCAGTAGTGAAGCAATCCGTTCTGTTTCATTACTTTTGTAAATATGATTCATTACATCGAATAAAATACCTTTACCTTAACTAAAAGAGACCCCTAACTCTCACAACGCATTTTTGACAATGAAGTCCGTTTTTCAGAAATGTGTGGTGGTCGAATTTGTACTGTTCGTTAGCACAGAAGTGATGAATTTTTATTGATAGCGACTCGATCCTGAGCCATTCTTTGTTCTATGATGTCTCTACCAATTTTTCTACACTAATTGTGGGTTAACTTACTTCCCATTTATCGAAACTCCACAAAAGTTAGAGAATATTTTTTAATACTTCTGATTTGCTCAACTTTCAACAATTTAGAAGAGCTGGTATACAGAATTATTTTGTATGATCGCTTTTTGTATATTCTGCGATCCACAATATTACTTTTTCTAAATACTCTACATAAAGAAAAGGTTAGAAGCGTTCGAAATGTGGTGTTACAGGAGAATGATGAGGATACCGTGGATAGAGAAGGTTAGAAATGAAGAGGTAATAGAAAGAATAGGACAACAGAGGACTCTATGGAAGTCAATGATAAATAGAGGAGATAGGTTGCTAGGACACCTTTTCAAGCATGAAGATCTAGTCAGAGATATATTAGAGCCAGAAACGGGAGTTAGGAGGGGTAGAGGTAGACCTAGATTAGATTACTTCACAAATAGTTAAGGATGTGGGTTGTTGTAGTTTTAGGGAAATGCGAAGATTAGCTCAGGATAGGAAGGAGTGGAGGTGCGTGTCCAACCAGTCTTAGGACTGACAACTTTATGATGATACAAATTATCTATAACAAAATAATATATTCGTTCTCGTACTTTTCTTACAGAAAATTTGCAATGTAATCTCAAACTAAGAGTCTTAAAGAATTATTACAAGTCGAAGCCGGCATTTAGCATTAAAGTTAATTTTTTGTTACTTTAATTTTTGTAGTATATATGAGGTTTTTATATAATAATTATTTTCTTATTTTCTTTTTCAGATTTGAAATTCCATTTCTATCTCCCTGTCAAACTTCGGGCATTTGCTACAGTCCGTGGTGAGTTTTTTATTTTCTTCTTCTTTTGCGAAAATGTCATAAAATACAAGTGTTCTAAGATAACTGCGAAGATATGCATATAAACATGTCTCGTAATATTCTGTAAGAGTACGTACATAATCTCATTTGCACATGCAAAACAAAGCATAAGTAAAGACAAATAAGTACTCATTGAAATGCGGAATACATCCCTGGATGAAAAGCTACGTGACGAAAACGTTAATTGCGGTATTATAATGGTTGAAAATAATACCGAATAATTATCATCATTTTGTCTTTATACATGACGCGATCAAATAATTCCCAAACAACGAACAAAGGCTGTAATCTCTAATAGAAAATGTAATCCAATGTAAATTCGTTAGAGATGCTAGAGGTTTAAAATTAATACCATGGATAAAAATGGTTAGAAATATGAAACAATTAAAAAGAGAACGAGAACAAAAGGCGCTATGGAAGTTAATAAAAAACGGACGAGAGGTTATTCGTAGGATACCCTCTCAGTAGAGATATGCAAAATTGTTTTTTAAAAGTATTTAAATACAAAATGCAGATACTTTCTTGATTGTTATTTTAAATGTAAAATACAAAATAGATTTCCCTTTTGTATTTTAAACATTAAATGCAAAATACGTATTTTGAAAATGCTTTTTTCAATTAAATACTGTTTTGCTTGTAGCATTTGCTCATATCTTAAATATTGGAGTTTTCTAGACTAATGCTTGTGTTTGCACTATATCACCAGCTGCGAAGATTAAGTATAATTCATATTTTTCAGTTTGAAGTGATTGAGATATAGTTTTTCTATCTTTATGTTATTGTTTCTTCAGTTCAGTAACAAATAATTCTTCTATATGCTTCCTTATTTGCCTTTGTCACCCGTTTTAATTGGAAAAAAGACGGTGATGACAAAATAGTTTGTTTTAGCGTGAATGATCAGAGCCAAAATAGGGTTGCAAATAATTTTATTGAGGTAAAATCAACATCAGTCATTTAATATCAAAATATTTACAACCCCAGTTTGTTTCTGATCTTTTACACACTGTAATAAGAGAAAGAAATGGAATCCATAGTTTCTCTACCTTTAAGTTCATCCAATAAGTGACGTTTTTCGAATCCTTTTCAATGAATTTTGGATTATATGCATTTATTAGCACAGTATCTTGTAGTTTTCAGTTTTACACAGCTGGCTTATATTAATTCTATNTCTCACAGAGAGACTGAATGAATAAAACTGAAAAATTGAGAGACTCGAAGAAAGACTGGGATCTCTGAAATATGTTGAACTTGTTGAAATTTTAACCATGTCTATCGAGACACCACTTATTGAGAGGTTTGAGTCTCTCGTTCAGAGATTCGAGTCTCTCGTTCGGACACTGGATACGAAATGGGGATCTCTCTATGAGCGACTCGAGTCTCTCGTTCAGAGATTCGAGTCTCTCGTTCAGAGACTGGATACGAAATGAGGATCTCTCTATGAGCGACTCGAGTCTCTCGTTCAGAGACGCTAAACAGTTTTTTTGACAGTCTCTCGACAGTCTCTCTCAGCGACACCAGCGAGACTCGAATGTCGCTTTCAGAGACTCTGAGAGACTGAACATTTTTATCTCGGGATTACAGTGAACCCGGAAAACAATATCGATATTTTAGATTATCCATTTCCAAGAAGTTTAGAATTTTTGGGGATCTCTTCAGCTAAAGAATTAGAAGGCAGTCATGGAATATAACCATTACAGATGTCTAACATCCAATAAATAATTTATTCTGTTACTTAAATACTCAAATTACAAAATCTAAAATAAATTATCTATTCTGTCAAGTTCTCATATTACCAATTTTCTAAAGAATGTCTTATGTCAAGTAAGTGCTCGAATTACTGCAATTATTATTTCACACACCGACGACAACTTTTTGTAAACATATTTTTACTTTTTCGAATTAGCACGTAGACGAAGAGGAGTAACTAATATCTGATTTATAGCTATAGGGGTGTAACCAATATTTATATAAAAAGGCCTTGTCGTAATAATAAGATTTAGATTTAATAAAAATCTCAACTTATAAATATCACATCCAAAATACTCTTGTAAAAGTTCTGCGAGTTTTTCTATTTTATTTCGACCTGGAGCTCAACATAAATTTGACACAGTCCAAAAGGGTTGCAACACTATCTTCGTTTCGTCCGTCTCATTATTCCCACCCCAACCGCTACCTACCCATGTCTACAATTCCGAAAAGGAGTCTGAACATGCATGAACAAATGTCCAAATCTTTCTTTTTAGTATACTGTCTTAAAGACTTTTTGATCACACTGCGTAAGTTACCGCAGCTCTGAGCACTTTCTATTGGAAATTGTTCAGGATGACATTGAACGGAAACCACGGAGTTCCTAATGTCTTATGTACATAAAATATAATCTATATACATTAACGATTTACGTATGTGTATGTTCATGTATGCAATCTATTTACATACTGTATGTATAAATATGTACATCATAATGTACACAATACATAAGTACGAACAATGGATGCACATTAAGGTGTACTTACAGCATTCTAATATGAAAATACCAAAATATTTCCATCCAATTATCACAAAATCGCGTACTGGAGTAGACCAGGAAAGAAAAGTTAAGGGAAATATTTACTAATCGTGAAGCTATATTCGAACTCAAACAAACACATCTGCATTCAGCTTAGTCTAATTAAATTTCCATGACAAGCGTTAGCAACAGGCCATAACACGGAGAAACGGACTTATATGCGATAACTATGAACTTTACTTACATCCTGAAAATGTGCTTTCGCTCAAATTTTTAATAAAAGAATACCCCGAACATAAATTAAAATTGACGTCTGGCGTCATTCAAATTAAACTTTAATTGTTATAGAGCATGTACCTACAGAGATATTAAATAGTAAATTCATGAGTAAACCTAGTGAAAAACATTCAACATTGTCTTTTGTGAAAAGCATTTTCTTATAATCGAAAATAACCAAAAGTCAAAAAAAATAATCGCAATCTCAATCTTAACACAGAAAAACGATTCTATAGGACTATGGTAGACAAACACAAATGTTTTGTATAACTAATAAAGAGGTTGTGGAAAAAGGGCCTTCTTATGAGAAAATTTCGGACCATATTTTCCGAAAATTTGTGTCGCACCAACAGTGATTATTATGAAAATTCAAAATTCCGTCCCACTTGAAGCAAATTTGTCTGCAAACAACATCCCATTAAAAAATTAGGTTCTGCAGGACTTTTCTTTCGAAATCACCGACACAAATCCAGTCGCGACTGAAAATCAGTTTCAAACTATTGCAACCGCTGCAAATGATAAGGATGCAGCAACTGTTCCTTTAAAATTTGCCATACTGTCACACGAGAGGAGCCACCGTTCCCTACTATTTCGCGTGTACTATTTTGAAGAAGCAAGGATTTCGTATCATGTCACATTATTGCAACAACAACTGTTTTATAGTGACATAGATACTGACCTACACTGATGATTGATGTTATATTGCTGAATTATTTTGGTAAACTACACATCAATTGTTGCATACAAGGTTTAAACATTTGAAGAATAAACGGTTGATAACATAAACACCCTGAATCATACTTAATCCAATCTAGCAAATAAACAATACACGAGCAAAACAAATACTAAACTAACGTTGGTAAGCACCAGTTGATTGACTGCAGCGTTGCGGGCCGTGTTTCTTTGTCAGGGCCGGAATTGAATTTACCTGTTTTTCTCGAAAACGGTAACTTTCTGACATACAAACATTTGCTTAATCTTCTTGTTTTATAGTACCCTATCACTTCCTGCAACCCCTCACATATTTCTGTTAGAGAAGAGCAAGTTAGCAATTGCACTCTCTTAAACGTTAAAAGAAAAAATAAACCAAGCGGCTACTGAGTGTGTGTAAGTTAAAAATAGACTTGTGTATTGTTACGTATTAATGGTTTGCGAGTCCTTCAATTGACCAATAAGCACTCGCCGAACGATTCGGCTGGGATGAGCAAAAACAGATCATTGCTCCATTTTGCCCTTTAAATTACATTAGAGGTAGGAAAACTATATTTCAAGCGTCTTTAATGCCACAAGAATACCTAACAACTGAGCAAGTATTTTGGTTTGCTCGCGTCCTGCAAAATATCTTGCGTGGCTTTTAGCTTCATTTACCCCCTCAACGCCTACTCTAATGTCACTGCAATCAGCTGTTGTTAGCCATCTTTGACAGTTGTCATTATCAGCCATCTTGTGATTAGAAATGACGTTTAAAGCTCGGAAGGTTGGTGATGGGAGATTCATTTCAATCAGTAATTCTATTTTGTAACATCCAATCAAATCCGTATAAGAAGTTTTACAGCAGAAACAGTTCAAAATATCACGTAATAATTAAGTTACAAGGTAAAAGTAAATATTACCAAAAGTAAAATTTTGGGTGCACTTTAAATCGCCTACTGATCCGCTTTGTACCTTCTCCATACATATAAGCTACTGTATTTATGCACCACGATGTAGTCGATGTTTCTTTGTTCGTGTGACTCTTAAGCTACGCGTACCGAAGGTTCATAATCGAGCTTTCGTGCCCCCCGAAAAGTCTTTTAGTTCGTAATGGTTTCAGGCCGAAAAAGAGAAAGCACATGATTCATCGCTCGAAGAAAAGAGACAAAAACTGTGCCTTGTATATTACAGAACTTGTTCAATACATTGGCTAACATAAAATCTCTTCTGTCAAGGTTCACTTTTTTAACTTTGTTTACGCTCCCCCGGTGCATGTTGTGGCCTTGACACGACGTCTCTTCATGGAAGGAAGAAAAATTACATTTGGTGTTCTTTATATTCACAGTATATTCATCCATCCACAGGATATAATCTCCTAATATACATTAGATTTTTTTATGTTCATGTAGTTATTTTTCGATCAATAATAAATTTAAAAAAAATATTTTTTTACTATTTACATCCCTCTTTCAATAAAACTTTCCAA